TTGTATTTTCCCAAACTGGCCAAAATATCTCACAACCCATCTTCCAGTGCAATGTTGATACTCCCTACTGAGAAGTGAAGTCTTATTCCCTCTCCTTGAATCTGAAGTTAGGTCATATAATTCATCTTCCTCCTGATTCTCTTAGGTAGCTCACTCTTAGAACCATGCAGTGAGGAAACCCAGGCTTCCCTGTAGAGACCCACACGGAAACAGATAGCCAACATCAAATTTTTAGCCATGAGCAAGCTATCTTGAAAGTGCATCTTCTAGTTCCTAGTGATATACCCCAGTTTACAATTTTTGGAGTAGAAAAGCTGACCCTACCAAACCCTGCCTAGTTTCATTAGTAAAATAAGTAATGATGGTTGTTACCTTAAGCCACACAGTTTGGGGATGGTTGCCTAAACAGCAATAGGTAACTGAAACAGCATCCTACATTCAACACACAGTGATGTGATACAACTCAATGGTTAGGTAAATGGGCTACAACTACCTTTGTTCAAAGCCTACTTCTATCACTTTGTTGCATGACTATTGGTGAGTTGCTCAACATTTCTGTGCTTTCGTACTCTTTTGTCAATATAGTACTTAAGTTTGATGAGAGAAGTGATTTAGTACAGGTAAATGTTTAATGAATATGTATATGAATACATATATATGTGTATGTATAAATGTAAGTATGTATAATTTTTAATACTAAAATGATCTTATCTGCTTTATTGTTCATCTCACCAGAGTATAAGCCCCAATAAAGTAGGAACCTTGTTTGTCTGATTCACTACTATATCCCCAGTACCTGGAACATTGCCTAGCACAAAGTGCATATAATATTTTTTGTCAATGAATGTATGCATAGCACTTTTCACACTACTTGTGGAAGATGTCTCTGGTTCCTATCTATTCTCTCCTTCCAGAGTAGTAGATCCTGCTTTTGTTGTGAATGTCAAGAAATACTATCCCAGATTCCTTGGAATCTAAGGATCATCATGTTATGAGTTTTCTATCAGTAAGATATAGTCAAAAGTCTGCTAAGGATATCTGGGAAATTTTTTGCTGTCTTAACCTAAGTATTACCCTTTCTTCTGTCTCCTTTCCCTCCTTCCTGCTTTTAATACAGGCTAAAAGTAGAACAGCCAAAAAGTTTATGAGCATGAAATCAAGATGGAGAAATAGGAGATACTGATGATCTAGTGAAGTCACTGTTCCCACTAACTGCAGACTTCTAAGAAGACACTTAGCAACCCTTTGTATTTAAACTCCAACAGCCAGGTTTCTGTTACATGTAGCTAAATAAATGTTCTGTTATGGAGTCCTATCTACTCTAGACCAATCATTAAGGACAAGCCTATGCATTTTATTTACCTTACTATTCTATAGGAGAACCCAAAGAATTTATCAGCCCAGAGCTAATTCAATATACAGATCTCTAGCTCACTTCACATAGTGACACTGGTTAAGTAGCAAGGCACACTACATTATCTACATCTCTTTAACTTGAGTTCAACGTATTTCACTGTGTGTATGTGTTATGTGTACCATTCATTCATGAAACAAGTATTTATTTATTGCCATTCTATGCCAGACACTATGTTGCTACAAGGAATACAAGGATGAGTTAGTCAGGTAATTGAAGCTGGATGCCCAAGCTCCCACTAAATAGCAACTCCCCAAAGGCAACAGCTGAGCTGCTCTCGATAAGGGACAGACTCAAGTCTAGCAGTCCCAACCATCTTATTCCTCATCTCATTCTTTACTCCTATCCCTACTTCACTTATTCACACATCTGCTTTTTTATTTTAATGTTTTTAGTTGTAAATGAACACAATATCTTTACTTCTTTTTATGTGGTGCTGAGAGTTGAACCCAGTGCCTTATACAGCTAGATAAGCACTCTACTACTGAGCCACAACCCCAGCCCACACTCATCAGCTTTTTTAAGTGCTTCTCATGAGCATAGAATACCCATTACTAAGTTAGCATATGTTTGTATTTTGAATGCCTAACCTTCCAAGGTAAGGGTCCAAGGTTTTAAACTGTTTTCTTGGCAACTAAGTCATGTGCTCTTGCTAATCTATCATTAAGTGGCTGTTCTCCCAATATCAACACACTTGTATGCTGTCCTGTAATTCAGCAGCAGTACTGGATATTTTAACCTTATCCCAATGTCATGATTGGGTATTAACAGTCCAAAGCCCAAATGATGGATCCTTTCTCTCGCAACATGGCACAGTTAGATCAAAATTTGGAACTGTAGTAAAACACTTCAGATTAGTCATTAACTTATCCCCAAGGTTAAAAGTTTTAGGAATTTCTGCCATGGAAACACAGCAGGTATGACACAGTTGAAGCAGACCATTGAAACAGGTACCAGTGATTCTGGGACCACATTATATTGTCATTTTTTTATATTTTACTTTTGGAGGCTCTTTAAATTTTTGTTACTGTGTAAACTGTTTTTAGGGGCAGAAAGCTAGGCCCTTTTGAGAGTTGATGGAACTTATAGTACTCTTCTCCAAATAAACACACACACAACATTTAGAGTTTTAAGGATTAAGAAATTACCTGTGATTTGCCATGAGGATGGAAACCTTTTCTATACCATCATTTGGCTTATCATATCCTGTTTACATTTTTTTTTTTTTTTTTTTGCTGAGGATCAAATCTAGGGCCTCATGCATGCTAGGCAAGCACTCTATCACTGAGCCACATCCTCAGCCCTTTCATATGTGATGTTTGATCCCAATGAATAGGTAGGTTTTCTGAAATAACCTGCTCTTTTTTTTTTTTTTTTTTTTTTTTGATACACCAGGGATTGAACCCAGGGGCTTTTGACCACTGAGCCACATCCCTAGCAGCTTTTATATTTTATTTTGAGTCAGGGCCTCACCGAGTTGCTTAGGGCCTGGCTAAATTGCTGAGGCTGACTTCAAACTCAAAAACCTCCTGCCTCAGCCTCTTGAGCTGCTGAGATTACAGGTGTGCACCACCATGCCCAGTACATATGCCTTTTATTATCCCCCAGGAATGTATGTGTATAGACTCTATGGTTGTAGGAAACATTTGTCAAATGAATCTTTTGAAGCTGCTGCTATTTACAAAGTCAGGCAGCTTTTAACACTTCTGCCCTACCTCCCTCCAACACAAGAGATCACCACAAGAGGACTTGGACCCTACTCTCATGTTCTATTTACTTTCAAGGTTTTAGGTTCAGACACATCTCATGCAAATATCCACTCTTAGATATTTAGAGAACAAAGTGGTGTGTAGTAGAAAGCCTTATACAAAAAGTAAAAATAAATGCAGTCTACTATCATAAAAATTTGTGGATTTTTTATTCCTTAACTCTGATACCTTGCCCCATATGTCACACACCTATAAATAGGACCCATATTCACCCTTTCTCAAGAGTTACTTCTCAAACTACACTCTCTTCCTGACATGTGCTTATGGGGAAAATTTTAAAATAAAGAAAATTCTAATGCTACCAGAATGGTGCCCATGTAGTTTTTCCTTTTTCCCCCTGATCTTTCCCTCCTGCTACAAATCTCCAAGGGCCACCTTCAATGCTAACTTGTTTGAAACCTAAAGGGTTTTCTTTTCTCCCAGAGGCTTTCCCTGACTCTGTAGGCAATTGCAGCCACCTGGTGGCCATATGGGAAAAGGACAGATTGAGTGTCCCAAAACATCTCTGGTGAGGAAGAATTCAAGGAATAACTTTCCTCTTGGGTATATGGGAAGCAGGGAAAAAGAAACCTGTGGATAGAAACTATTGACACTTATTATATCTCTTGGTTCCATCATTGCCTCCCACCCACTAGTCATTACAAACAGATTAATTCCTTGATATCTGAATTCATTCAATCAATATTTATTGAACAGCAACTATGTACCCAGCAATGGGAATACAGCAAAGACAAAATATATTAAGATCTCTGCCTCTATGAGCTTACAATCTAGCAATCAGCTGGTAACATCTATAATTTTACAATAGTTATAAGAACCTGACAAATTGAAGGTGCTGAGAAGATTTAACAAAAAGTCTAGATCTATATTGAGAAATCAGAAAAGGACTGCCTGAGGAAGAAACATTTAGGATGAGCTAAGTGGAAAATGGAAGGGTGTGGTGAGCAGAGAGAACAATCTTTGTGAAGGCTTTGAGGAAAGAAGATACTTTATGAAGGCCAGCCATGGTGTCTGAAGCACAGGCAACAAAGAGGTATATTATGAGACACACAAGGTAGGCAGGGCCTTATTTATGCAGAGTCTTTTAAATTAGTATTTTATTCTAAAAGCAAATGGGAGCCACTGAAATATCTGAGCAGGAAAGTGAGATGTTGAGGTTTGTATATCACTCTGATGACAGCATATAGAAGGCAGAAGTAGAAATGGAAGGACAGATTAGGAAGTTTTCCCAGCTGTCTAAACAAGAAGTGTTGGTAATTCAGAGAAAAAAAGATAGATTCCAGTGATATTTATCAGATAGAATCTACTTGGTGAGTGTCTGGGTATGTGAAGAAGGGTGTGTGTTTCTGGCAAGATGTACTAAACTAGGATACTCTGGAAGAGGGACAAATTTGGGCAAATTAAGCACATACCATAGGCACAGCCTTTGAAGCTGGCAACAAGAGGAACAGCATAGCTTCGATTCTCAAATAATTTAAGGTTTAGTTGAGCAAACAAGATACATATGAGATCATTGCAGAGTTGATTAAATATCACAATTATTGATCCAGATAATTCAAGTATTCTTTCATTCCATAGGACTAGATTCTATCAATCCCAATGAATTCAGAAACCTGAAGCCAATAGGGATAACCCCACTTTTGTTCATGCTTCTCATAGCCACTTAGAAAACTTCTGTGCAACCCACCCAATGTCTCTAGAGACCACCTTCCTCTGAGCTGGGTTCAGAACCCAACCAGGAAGATGTACTAAACTCTCCTTGGTTCATTTTTGCCTGCTGCTACCAGTAAGTTCACCTCTCCTCCTCCATTTCCCTCCCCTGCTTAGGTTACAAGGGGTGAAATCTAGCCATTGTTCCTGGTTGGTTCTCTTTTGGTCATTGGGAATTTGTCCACCTTACTTAGTTCTCTCTTCACATGTCCCCTGTCAAGTCACCTCTTTTGGAATTAGAATCTTTCAAAGTCAACCCTGTTTTCCTCACCTCCTCTAAGTGGAAAGGTCCACAGGTGAAAAAGATGCCTCTGTTGTGCTCCCTCACCAATATAACCCAATCTACAGGCCCTTTTCCTACTCCAGTTTTTCTAGGAGTTAATAAGTGCCCACATCTTTGCCTCAAAAAAGTCAGAAGAGAAATTTTACTATGGAATGAACAAGAAGCAGCCTCAACAGCTATTCCTAAAGAGGTCTTCCTGGCTTACTCTTTGCCTCTGGTGTACTCTGCTGATTAACTCTTTCCCAACACAGTAACTGCTGACTAATTAATAGGCCTACAGTTTCTTATTGTGCAACAAATTCAGGACAAATCCAAATACCAAATACTTGGTCAGAGGTAGCATTTTAAAATGTTACCATGAAGTTAAGAGATTGAGAACAGTCCCTTTAGCCTTTGGAGTTGGGAAGACTTGGATTTGCATCCTGACTCTAATGGTAACTAATATCTCTTTGCTAATGAACACTTCTAAGTTTCAAAAGTCTTATCTGGGAAATAGTGTTAATAGTATTCACTTTATGGGGTAGTTGTAGTAAAGAGGGTGAATAAAGTACCCATTATAATATCTTGACTGGATTATCTGATGACCATTTATTTCCTTTCTTTCCCTTGGGTTTCAGCTACTAAATACTTTTCTAAAAAGACAATAAGGGGGGAGGAAGTGGGTAAGTGCTAGGGAATGATAATAACCTAATTACATTGTTATATTGTGTGCATGTATGTAACAACAAATCATCATCATGTACAACTACAATGCACCAACAGAAAATATGGAAAGAAAAATTTAAAAAAGAGACTAGCTAGGTTTTATGGTCAATGACAGTCATTTCCTACTCCTATCTTTGTAGATCCCATCTTTCTACAGCCATCTCATTTCCGCCATTGCCGAAAATGTTCCTCCACCCCTCATCCTTGTGTAGGATTTCGTTCTCTTACTATCACCTTCTACCTGAGCTCCATTTACCTCTTCTCCCCTACAACTCCCTATCCAAGATACTGTGCCTTCTTGTGTCATCCCTAAAGACTAATTCACTTCTAGCGTTCTCCCTAATTTTCACAGAGCAAATCAGAAGGGAGCCGGAGAATAAGATTCATACTTCAGAAGGTCACGAGAACTACAGTCCAGATTCCAAAGGGGAAAGGAGGTCTGAATCCAAGCACCCCACACCCTCACCTCTTTTCCTCAAGGACAGAAAAAGGCAAACTCAAATTATGTCTTAATCCAGACAAGCACACATCTCCTTTCCTATAGCTCTGTGAGGTCATCACTGAAGTAGAGCAGTATTGCAGGTATGTAGTGTGTACCATCCATTTTGAGATAGTCAAATTCTTCCTCCTCATCCTGGATCCCATTCTCTTCCAGGGTATGATCCATGTTCAGGGTCTTCCCTTCATATTTCCACGTGTAGCTGGCAGCATGTGCATTATAGGGAAGATAGCGGTGTAGGATTTCCCACATTGACTCCAGAGCCCCCACGTCTCCGGTGTTTGGATCAAACCAGTGGCTGATGTCCTGGCCTGCAACTTCCACAATGGGTTTCAGCAGCAGGTTCCCCTTGTACTCCTGAGCCAATGGCGTTAGGTCGTACACGTATCCCAAGTAAGACACCCAAAGGTCTTCGGGCTGGTTATGTCTGGCCACTTCTTC